TCTACTAGCCACCGAAATACACTCATTTGCAATGTTCATTTTACTTTTGGTGCAACATTGTTAAATGTGGGTAGCATCATATTATTTAGTTACGATTACAGTTTACCCACCCAATGTGAAATATTATTTGCCGGTCATCTTAGGAAAAATAGTTATATATGTATTAGCTTTCTCTGGACATTTATGGCGAAAAAAAGGGGGTCCTCCATTTTGATATTGCCCATATTGGTCGGACATCTATTTTGGAATATGTTAAAAGTCTGTTATCCAATATTATTTTTTTGGATAACAAACTTAATATATTCATTTGCACACCAGTATATAGATATTGCAACTAAAATATATTGCTATATTACACACCCCTCACTATATGAAAAGATGTTGCTTAATTAAATATTATTATATTGGGATGTTTTAATACGCAAATAGGAAGGTAATGGAAGGGTGAACTATATTGAAGTACCAGGGGAGGTGTAGACCTACATATCATAATCAGGTAGACCGTACTATCAAAATATATTACTGGGGGTGGCTAAATAAGCTTATTTGTGTGATTAGATTAACAGCCAGCTCCAGTTCCCCCGGCTAAGAGTACTAACTATAGACGTATACTACGAGTATGGATATTGTTGAATACATAGTGAAATTAAATTCATTAGTAACCTTTTAATGGTGAATTCTGCTAGAGGGATTTCTTAATGCTTTATAATCATGTTTCTGGTAGATTTTTTTTTATACAACTTAGAATGACAAACAAGCTGACGGCCCACCTGATGGAAAATGGTAACCGTCGCCTACAGACATGAGCAGTACCATGGACATAACAGAGTATACTGTTTCGCCCCTGATACCCCCCATGCGTTGCCATTCCTGAGGACTCGACTGTTATTCCTCTGTATCCAGTAAATTCACGCCATATCCCACCCTGCAAACCGAAACACAGCCATGCAAACACAGTTGCTTCACGGTTGAAACACGAATGAGACAGAGGTACCCAAGCAATCGACAATGCAAGCACTGACAAGCAATGACATATTGTTGGTAACAATTTTAAATACAAGTAACTAGTAATCACAAAGAAACTAAAGATTGTATGGGTATACCACCTATATACTCGTAAGACATAACATACTAATAGTAAATGAGTATACATTTGCAATAGTGTGTATTTTATGTGTTAAAACCTGTTTTATTGGCTACAAAATACCTCAGATTGAAATAAAAGCCTGTAAGCAAATTCAATAGCTTTTTAGCACTTGTAAAATTGGATTTCAACAACGTTCACCGTGTTCTGATTGCTCTGTACTGATTCAGCTGTAACCTTCTATAGCATAATGACAGTGTCCGAGTGAAAAGTCACGAGTATTTTTTATTTTTATAAATGTAAACGATTCTATGTGCTATTTTTAGAGGTTTTAGAACTAGTAAAATTTTGTGCTTATAATCTTTAAGTAATTTGAAAAAGAGGATTCTTTTAGAAATCGATAAGTAAATAAATAATTGCTGATAACTGAATCATCATCATCATCATTTTTAGTAATATAGTTTGTTTGTTTGCTCGTCTGTTTGTCTACCATAAAATACCAGAGGAAGACTTTGGACAAAAGTTGTTTGCTTGGATACCTCTATTCCATTCGTGTTTCAACCGTGAAGCAGATGTGTTTGCATGGTTATGTTTCGATTTGAAGGGTGGGATATGTCAGCGAATTTACAGGATACAGAGGAATAACACCTGAGTCCTCAAGAACGGCAACGCATGGAGGGTATCATGGGCGAAAGAGTATTATAATATTATACTCTGTTATGTCCATGGTACTGCTCATGTCTATAGGCGACGGTTACCACTTCCATCAGGTGGGCCGTCAGCTTATTTGGCATTCTAAGTTGAATAATAAAAATACATGTATATTAACAGTGCATACATTGGTGAAAATTTCGAGTAACTTCCACATAAAAATACAAACGAAATGAGAACTTCCTTGTTTTTAAATTCACTTAAATAACCACTTACTCGTTGTCCATTATATCTAAAAAAGAATAAAAAGAACTGGTAGCATAGCAGATAAGAAATAAAGGGAATAAAATGAACGCGGGTTGAAAACAAGTTTTATAGAAAACTTCGTTCCAATAGCCGTCATTTATAAGAGAATGACTTGTGCCATTTGTATTGTGGTCTATTCATTAAGCTAGGGCCGTGGGTAGAATCACAAAGGGGTAGTAAGATGCCCTACTATTTATTAAGAGGTCGCTTCCCGTAAGGTAAAGTAATCCTTGCCTTATATTGAATTACTTTGAATTACAAAAATAATCTGATTGACTTACATCTTAGGTAACTTACTTTTTGTTAAGAATGCTTGAGCAGTTTCGTGACCATTCGGGGCTTTTAATCATGAGTTATGAGTAGATGGTCGCACATGAAATTTATTAAACACAAGTATCTATCAATAAAATTATGTAGAACTTTCGAATTTTATTTGTGTGTTTATTATACACTATGTTAATTTATCAAGTCAAATAAATTTTCAGTTTCATAGTAATGACCCTCTTAACATGAAATTTGTTGTCGTATACAACAAATTGCATGTTAAGAGGATACTATACCTGACTTTATATGCATTGATTAATAGTTTTATCAGGGGGGAAAGAGATTGTTAGTAATGTAGACTGAGAATCCCATTGCTAGCAATATACCCAACCAGGTCGACCTCCTCGCGGTTCACCCTGGAAACTATCATGGTTAATCCCTGATGAATTCATCATGATGAGCTAACTGGCCTGTTTTCATTCTCATCTATCACTCTTCACTGGTGCTCCGCCAGCGTATCCCATTAGCGCAGGCGGGGTTACCATACCATTTACACCCATAAAAAAAGTAGTTTTATCAATTGTTAACATTGAACAAAAACTGTCTATCTGTATAACCGTATGTAACATCATAGTTCACAAACAAATAAAGCAAAAAATACTAACATTGCAATAGACTGCAGGTTTTTTATTAAATCGAATTAATATATTGATAATTGGAATTGTTTAATAAGTATGTTTCTTTGAGTACGGTAATACGGGTACGCACCCCTGGAGACTATAGCTGTCACTATCTATCCCATATCCTCCTAAATAGTTATTATAGTTTATCTTATCCCTTCTCCTAAACTTCTTTCAAAAATTCTTTTAAAAACCCAAAAATGCCAGTCACCAATTCGCATACCCAGCATGGTGAATGGTTATGAACTCTGCGATGAAAAGTACCGATAATGTGCCATCTCCAGTGCGAAGATGATTAATCAATCTGGGTACAGAGGAATAACACCTGAGTCCTCAGGAATGGCAACGCATGGGGCGTATCATGGATGAAACAGTATACTCTGTTATATCCATGGTACTGCTCATATCTATAGGCGACGGTAACCATTTTCCATCAGGTGGGCCGTCAGCTTGTTTGCCATTCTAAGTTGTATAAAAAAAAACATACATCATTCGAAACAGTAGATAAAATACAGCACTAACATTATGTAGTAAAATTAAATAGAGTGATATTTTTAATGTTTATCATTAATATATTCTCTTAAGCTGTAGTAACACTTGTTAATTGATCATTCTGTAGAACGCAATCGGAATTCCAGGCACAATCTTAATAATAAACTCATAGTGTTTTGGTAACAACTATAAAGGCCTCTACCCTCCTTTTCTCGGTAGTAAGACCTCACACTTTCTAAAAAAACCTCAACTGTATAGATTAGTTTTCTTTTATAAATCAGGGGTGTGGAAAGAACTCATAGTTTTAATTTCCGCCCCGATCTACACATAACCAATAAAACAGGGTTTGAATTATTTCTTCTAACATTTTAATAGGTACTGCGTAAATAGTCGTATAATGCTTGGATGGAAATATAAGGAAAACACACGGTTAATTAAATTACAGTGGATATTTTTTTATGTTAAAGAAATATAAATAAATCTTTATTCTTATGGTAATAATTTAAGATACTTTTCCACAAAAAACGCGACTTCAATCTTGATATAATTTGTGGGGATTTTCTTTATTAATATTATAAAGAAAAAAGATTTGACTGTTTGTTTGTAATGGATGAATTCAAAAACTGCTCAACCGATTTTATAAATTCTTTCAGCTGTGGAAAGCTACATTATCAGCGAGTAACAAATTTCTTGAGTGGCGACCTCGTACAAGTAAATACAGTGTAGGCCGACCCCTCACTAAATGGAGTGATGAGTGAACAGATAACAACTGATATTTTTATTTTTCTATTTTAATATTGTATCTGGAGTTATCAGTTTATACCGGAGGGAAGAAGGGATTTTTAGTTCGACCAGTTTTAGTTATCAGGTCGACCTCCACGCGGTCCCATTTGGAAAGCATCGTGATTTATTTATTATTGAATTTGTCACGCTAAGTTAACTGACCTGCTTCATCCTCACCTATTAGCCCTCACTGATGTACATTCAATAATCATCCATTAAAAAAATAGTTTATATCTAGAATAATTGAAAAAACATTACATTTAAACTATACATTAGCCAATTACAGATTTCTGATTTGTATACCAAACAATATTATGATTATTAGACGGTAGATATTCGCAAAGTAAATTCGATGAAGATATAATAATGATTGTATATAATAGAAAACAATACAAGCGAACTGAAGTTATCCTTCGATTGGAACGAACACTCTATGAACGAAATACATAGATAGATAGATACTCTTTACTGTTTCCTCCAAAAGATTACAACAGTAAACCTATTATAAATATAAACAATTACAAGAAATAATCATAATGAGAAAACAATGGGCGACCTTATCGCTAAAAGCGATCTCTTCCAGGCAACCTTTGGATGGAAAGGAGTAATTATAAACTGTTTAATAATGCCTACATTTATTCTATTTATGGCAATAATGACAAGCTCGACATTGACATCTCTTATTTTCCAACTGGTCGGTAGAACTAGAAATGTGAGAGTGTTGTATGTTAAATATTTATCATTATAAAGTCAACCAGGTCAGTCCATCAGTTGGCGTCAGTTATCGGCGCGTGCGCTTGTGTCACATGTTAGATAGTGTATCAATTTGTGCGTTTGTGTAAATAAAAATTTTGCATTCTAACATGGAATCATTTACTACAGAATGTGGTAGATATTGTATTTTTTTTTCTTAAATAATTCATTTTTGCTTTTTTAACGTTTACTTATTATTGGATAAGTAATTGAAAATATATTTTAGAAAGGTCATACTATTGAACGTAGTCAAAAATTACTATTAAGCCTTTATTCTCATGTTTTTATCTTGTTGTTACGATAGGAATCTTTTATATATATATATATATATATATATATATATATATATATATATATATATATATATATATATATATATAAATATTTATTTTCTTTTTACAATATCTAATTAATAGAAGAAGAATATATTACAGCAACTGGAAAGAAATATTTAAGTGGGTAGGTAAAAAAAAATTAATAGACGATAATGGAATGGTACTCGTACCTCGCCTGCACTAATGCTGGCAGGACACCAGTGGGGAATGATAGGTGAGGATGAAAAGGCAGGTCAGTTAGCCCATCGTGATAAATATACCTGGAATTCAGCACGATGGTTTCCAGGGGGCGGGAGGGCACGTGGAGGTCATGCTGAGAGGGTATATTGCTAGCAATAGGACTGGTAGTCCACATTACAAATCCCTTCCCCCTAAGTAGATAATTACCAAATTTTGTTGGGCCGAAAATATATTTTGCTGAATATCGATGTTCCATCTTAATTCACCTATATCCATCACGCCAGTGGTAAGATATTTCAGAAGGAGATGCTTTATTTTGGCGAAGATGAATTATAACCTTTAGATAAAATTAACAAACATGAGTGGGATTGCGAGATAAAAAAATATTATTAGTATTTTTAGGATATTGTAGGTAGAGGATTAATTAATATAATATGTATGTAGGTATTTAGGTAGGTTTATGTAACGAAAAAATCTAATACATCGTTATTGATGAACTGTTGACTATTATACAGCGATTATTGTCAATCTTTATATATATATATACATTTTTGATAAATATATATATTGTATAAGTTCACCAAATTTTTGTTCAGTCGTCGAAATATGAAAGTTTATAATCATTGTATTATATTGTAAAATCTTTATTATACATAATTTATAATGGATATTAATATTCAAATAATTTATATTTAATCAAGTTAGTTACTCAATTAGGTACACCAAAACGGAGAAATAGATGTAAATAGAGTTTATATGACAGTACCATCGAAGCATTTATCGTAAATAAAAAAAATTTAACTGACTTCAAAAGGAGGAATTCGTGTTTCAACTGTAAAGCAGTTGTGTTTGCATGGCTGTGTTTCGGTTTGAAGGGTAGGATATGGCGTGAATTTACAGGGTACAGAGGAATAACATCTGAGTCCTCAGGAATGGCAACGTAGGGGGGGTGTCATAAGCGAAACAGTATACTCTGTTATGTCCATGGTACCGCTCAGGCGATGGTTACCACTTTCCATCAGGTGGACCGTCAGCTTGTTTGCCATTCTAAGTTGTATAAAAAAGGGGTGTTCTCTATTCGATTGTATTTTCTTTTATGTTTGTTATTTTTGTATTTTAATTTAAATGGGGAAATCTATGGGGTACAACTAGTATTTATTTGGAGGGAAAGGGATTGTTAGTAATGAGGTTTAACAACTCCATCGATTGCAATATACCCTATCAGGTTGACCTCCACGCGGTTCCCTTTAGAAACCATCGTGGTTTATTTTTATGGAATTCGTCACGACTGGCCAACTAACCTGTTTCCATTCTCGTCTGTCATCCCTCACTGGTGCCTCGCCAGCGTATACCGATAACGCAAGCGGGGTCACCATTTCATTACCGTCCTATAAAAAAAAAACTAGTATTAAATTGTTAATTAGTCTGAGAGCACTTAGGTGTTCACCATTTTCACACTTCGCTTACAGTGTATAAAAATAGTGGAGTAATAACTGTTTATTTCATTCAAGGAAAATACAGGATAGAATCTCTGTCTGGTGCAACGTTCTCCGGCGCTCTAGAAGTAAGTAGCTTAGACTATTTACATAAATACTAACATTTCTATTTCTCATTTATATAAGTGGAAACAGCTGAGTATTTTAAAACGTGCTTCAAATAACAACTAACACAACCATAATCTTGGACGTTTAAATGAAATTGCCACTTTAAGAATATAATATTTATTTGTTCAAGTAACCAAAACTCATTTTGTTAATAACAAACATTATTTATAACTATGAAAATTATTTATTATGTTTATAATGAATATTGATGTGAGTTATCTTAATATTTTTGCGTCATACAATTTGTTATAATTTGTCAACGACCCGGTATGAATTGCCGAGAGGTATTTCGTACAATAGTTGATATCTACTCATATTTCTGTCTCGTCAATGGTTCTGCCAAGAAGCAACTGTACTTGCATGATTGTGTTACAGTTTAAAAGGTGGAATATAGCAGTGAAGTTATAGGCTATGGAGACATAAGACTATAGTCCTAATGAATGGCAAGACAAGTATCACAGTATATTTTGTAATGTTTATGGCATATTTATAAGTGTAGTCAGCACTTCCCATCAGCTGATCTGTCAGCTTATTTACCATCCGTATCATAACAGAATTTAAATAGGGATTAAACAAACGTCAAATTTAAGATTTAGTACCTGCTTAACGTTCATTTGACACGTATTTGGTCTATTTTGAGCCCAATTATAGCATGGCCAATAATATTAAATATTAGTTAGCTAAATAGAGCTTAGAAGAGACGTCATTGATAATTCACTATCTTTACTTACACCAATAATAAAACCTGGTGTGTATTTACAGCATGTAATTTTAGAGACTGATTATTTTTTTTATGATAAATCATAAAAATAACCTTAATACATAAACAAAACATTAGTGACCTAGCCTTATCAAAATACTTTATATTTATTACAGAGATTACGTATAATACAAGAATTACGTAGGTACCTACGTATGGTCGTTGACTTCTTAAATAGGATGTCAATGGTATCATATAATGTATGTACATTCTACTTTGTACACAAAATAATTAGATACAAAAAAAAATATTTTTGTACAATCAATTTTTTTTAATACATATATTTATAATTTTATTGTTAGTCACAGCCATTCACCCTTAGAATTACATTCTATAATATACATGAGCTATTACTATTTGTATGAAGACGTCGCCATTTGATGACAAGAATTTCTATACTTCACTACAACATACTATTTTTCTATTTCACTACATATACACTACACTACACTATATATACACTATACATAGCTTTTAACTTGGTTTACGAGACGATAACTTTACATGTTCTCTAAAACATGACGCAACTGATAATTATTTTTAAAAATTCAAACATGAATTTTAAAAATTATGAGGGTAGATTTTGAAAACCTTAGACTACAGTCAAGCATATAGCCTTGTTTAAATGAGCTGTCATTGCTATCAATTTAATTAAGCTTTTGATGATATTTTAAAGGGGACACTACTACCCATCTCTTTAAATTCCCTTAGTCGCCTCTTACGACACCAACAGGAATGAAAGGGGTGACCCATTCTCTGCCGGGACCACATGTCATTGCTATAGTATTTATTTATTTATTTAATATTTTATTGCAACTTACATATAAAATAAAAAAAATATACAATGATAAATTATTGTATGGTTTGAATATTTATTTCTCCATTTCAGGTAATCCGAGTAGCCTTTTGCCAGGATGAATCTGTGTGTATAGGATGCGAAGTTAACGAAAACCCAGTGGCTATTGAGGAATTACTGGAATTATGCGCAGACGCAGCATTAGACGCCGTATCTTTGGTTGCTGTAGAAATTGAAACTGGTGAAGTAGTAGCCGTCGCTTTCAATAAAATCCAGGTATAGTCCAGGAATTGTTATTATTCTATTAGTATTTTTAAATTTTACCAAAATTCTCATCTCCCCTATTAAGGAGAGGAGATGGCAACTAACCCCTGGCAGAAGCACAGTCGGCCGGGGTTCAGGGCCCCAGGGAGAGAAACCGGCGTACAATGCGGGCAGAATCTAAGAGCACCGCTTTCTGCATCTTTCCCGGGAGTGAGCCGCCTCGGAATCCCAACCGTCTGAGATGTTGTTCTAGACTGGTTGGGATAAGACCGTTCACCGACATAACGATTGGGATGATTTCGGTAGATGTCACCCCCACATTTCGGTCACCTCGTGAGCCAGGTCGAGATATTTTCTCTTCTTCTCGGTTTCGGCTTTCACGAGGTTCTCGTCATGCGGTATGGTGACATCCACCAAAAACACCCTCGAAAGTGCCCGGTCCATCACCACGATATCAGGTTTGTTCGCAAGAACAGTCCTGTCCGTGATGATGGATCGGTCCCAGTAGAGCCTGTCGCTGTCGCTTTCGAGGACCGGCTGTGGCTCGTACTTATATTACGGCAACCTCTCATTCGCGAGGCCGTACTTCAGAGCTAGCTCTTGATGGAGTATTTTGGCTACCTGGTTGTGCCTGTGCAAGTACTCTGTGTTGGCAAGAGCTGAACAACCCGAAAGCACATGTCTGAGTGACTCTCCGGGATGGCGACATGCTCGACAGATGTCCTCAGTGCCATCCTTCAGAATGTGCTTTCGGTAATTGTTCTATTGTATATTGGTGCTATTAGTATTATTATTAATATACTGAACTAGTGTTTAGTATGCAATAACTTAGAATTAAAAGGTATTATGTCATTTGTACATTTTAGTATCTCCAAAGCCTAACTGTAGTTGCCAATCCCTCTCCCAAGCGTGGCAACTATTGGCAAAAATCCTTATTGGGGAAGTCTGTGTTCAACAGTGAGCAATTAACGACTGATATGATAATGATGCCCTTTTTAAGTATCTAAATATAATATGTATATTTGAAACATTTAAATTTGAAATAATGTTAAGAATTAGAAAAATTAAATAATCGTAGAAGATTTTTGTATGTAATGGATAAACACAAAAATACTAAACTGATTTTAAAAATTCTTCCATCTATAGAAAGGTACGTTATAAGTGAATAAAATGGGTTGTTTTAATCGCTATTCTAAAATCAAAGCTGCGCGAATTAATGTATAAAAATACACTAATTGATATTATCTTTTATCAGGTAGCGGCTACAGATACTTCAGAACGAGCATTCTTTGAAACCTTCGCTAAAGAGCGATGTACACAAGGGCCCTCTCGCTCACTGGTAGAATTCATGGCTGATGTGGATGCAAGATGCAATCTTTTTGAGAAGTATGGCTTTTCATTATCTTAGGAGTAGAGTGGTAGTCATCTAAACTAACCTAACGTACTCATATCGAGAGTACCCAATTTTGAATGCATGGGGAAACTGGTACATGGCAAAATCTTAATACCTGAAGAATAAACAGTAACAATAAAAAAAATGGTAAATAAGCTAACGTGGGTAGTCCTGATAAAGTAACACCATAAAATAAAAGAAATCTTATTTTTCTATTTACTACCAGCTGTATCCCGTGGCTTTACGCGCAATAATCAATAAGTACATAAAGTATCCTGTGTGCTAAATTAGAATAAAAACTATTTATGTACTAATTTCATCATTCATCGGTCGTTATAGACTTTTTCATTTATTATATTAGTAAGATAACAAATGACTGTACATTCATTATGGTAACATTGTATTCAAACATGAAAACCAACCTTTACATCAAATCCGTTTATTTCAGTCTTCAGTCCTTTTATTATTGCGTGATTCAGCAACATTTTTATAAAAGCAAAATAATAATATGAATAAATTCATTGGAATACGACTGATAAAAAAGGTTCAAGATTTATTTAATTAATATGAATACATCTTAGAAGCTCTAGACGTTATGTATAATTTTATTTAACAGACCCCTTTTGGTTAGACCGCAATTGCATTGTGTTGTAAAGATTTTAATTACCTATTTCGTTTAGTTAGAGTCCAGTGACAGACAAATACCGTTTGCACATTTTGCAATTTATCAAAATGATATTATAAATCGTAACTGATAAAAAAACGTTTTATTGCACTGTAATCTAAATATTTACTGTCCTTAATTATAACTATCAAATAATAAATATGATAGTAGATATATAGAAGTAATCATTTGACAGAAGTAAGAAAATCAAGATAAAGCAAATGCAAAATTTTGAAGTTGACCTTCAGAAATACAACACAGAAAACTGTATCCAATTTGGTGCAGTAGTTTTTGTGTAATACAAGGACAAACATTAAGACAAATAGACTAACAGACAAACTAATAGATAAATATTTTAATGATTATTGTTTTAGTTTCTGTTGCTTCTATTAAGACCTCTCATATAAATTTTTCTTAAATATCTCTCATGTAAAAACATCGTCTAGTTATAATTGTATTATATTATTAAGATATACCTATATATTATCTAGAGATTAGGCCCTAACTAAAATAGAATTTACTAATTCGAGAAACTTGCTAGATACATTTGTCATGGGATTATCTACTTTGCGCATTTGTTAATTAATTAAAGTTCATTTGTAATTTGTATTCTTGTACTAGCAAAACCCTCTTTTATGGGAGAGGCATATATTTAGTAGTGAACAATTATTGGCTGAATTAATATATAAATATACCAATAAAAATATTTTTTGAAAATCCCCACGTCGAATTAGAATATAACTAATTTTTGAGGTGCAGTAAATTCGCAATGGATTTTAACTCTAGTAATCAGTGGTAATCATAAAAGCAACAGTTTGAACATATTACCTCTTGGTAATAGCAACATATGAAAGTTGTTATTGGTAGCACAATAACAGAACATTAAATGATATTCATGGCATCGTGGCCATTCAGTAAGTGCCACACGGAGACACTATATTTTTTTAGCATATTTATATTTTTCTTAGTAGTGTAAAATAATTTGTTTTTATGTGCAATAAATCAACACATTATTGTCTTTGTTTTTTAGATATGCAGTTGACTGCAGTTTGGAAATAATGTTTCTGGCAACAAAACGGGAACATAGACGGCGAAAACTTGCACAGTTGCTTTGTAAAGTTGCTTTGGATTTAGCAAAGAAACTAAAAGATGGACCTGTTTCGAAAATTACGTTAGAAGAACTGGGGTCAAAGTATTCCATGTTAAAACCACGCAGCCCCACAACCAAGTATCCGAAGATCTGCCAAGCTATTTGGACATCGGAGGGTACCCAACGAATAGGAAAAAATTTAAACTTCATAGTCCATTTAACGGTTCCATTTAAAGAGTTTATGTATGAAGGCAAAAGTTACGCTGAAAGAATAGGTTCGGTACCGTCATTTTGTGAAGTTGTAGCAAAACCTCTTTATTAATATACTGTTTGTTCTAGCGACGGCGGATTTTTATATTTATGTGATAATTACCACCGTAAAATGTAAATGTGTTTGATAAAGTTGTCCCGCGTCCAATTTTATTAAAACCTGTCTAGAAAATTTTGTGTGATGCATGTAGCGACACGGTTCAAATAAAGTTTTATTGCATGTATTTATAGATATAACTAGATGTAAATTTAAACTATGTGATATTTGGTATTTGTAATAAAGTATTTCTTTTTATTTTGTGTTAATTTAATATTCTATGAATAAAATTAATCGAATGGTTTAAAGGAAATATTCATTAAAAATCTCACAGTTATTTTTCCATTTTCTCAGTAATATTTTAATAAAACAAGTTCTTGAAATTTTTATAACGGATCCTTCAATTTATTATTGGCCTCTTAAATGAAATTGTTATTGTGAAGTAATTTATTCAAGGAGAGCTACATTCCTCGATTTTGTTCCATTTCAAGATTTTATAATTGTTTTGAACGATTCATGGTTTTTTCATCAGTTTCTTTAAAAGAACTGATCTTGTTTTAAGTCAAAATATATTAAGATTTTTGCAGGGTGGTCAACGGGCACGTGATACCCCTAGGGTTACAGTTCATAGGCTACAGTAACCGTTTACCATCTGACGGGCTGTATGTTTGTTTGCCACCTTCGTGGTATAAAAAAAAAATCTACTTAATTTTTATTCTTTGAATTCGCTTTGAGTGTCATAAATTGAAGTATATTTTGATTCGCAAAAAAAAACTTACTGTATATGTTACTTACTTTACTGATAAATGAGATATATTGAAAAAATTTCGTAGATAGTCAATTTCGTAGGACTCAACATATTTTGATTTTCGCGAAATAATATGTAGTTTGCATAAAGATGTTTCTTTAAAAGTAAAATACAGACGGCTAGAAGAAGATGCTTGTTTCGCACCAAAAAACGGTAGCTCAAGTCCTCAATAATTAAAATTGAACTAATGCAGGGAAAAAAACTGTATCTATTGAAAAAAATAAGTTACCAAAACCAGTTTATAATTGGTGATGCAAACGCATTGAATTTATCTCTTCGGAAGTCGCTAGTAGAGTACATTTTAAACTTATTAATTCAGGGCCATATAACCAAATCAAAGATGCACATACTTTTAATTGTATCTCTATAATTTACAGGCAGCGTCACACTTATTAAAGGCAAGTTAACACCGGTCCAGTTAGATAGTTGGACAGCTCTAATTGCGTTGTCTTGCTCTAGCCAAATTGGTTCTTGTTAATTGATTTGGAATCGGCACAGACTTCAGTATTCCATTCGTGAATATTATTCCGTTAATAACCAACTGCTGTAGATATGCTTGCAATTACATTTATGAGAAGTATTGTTATTATTTTCGGCCATTTATTTTAATGGTTCCATACCGAATTAGTTAAATTGTTTCTACGTCTGGCCAATAGATGTATTGTATTGATGTTTGCAAATTGTCTTACTTCTTTATGTAATTTTAATATAGGAACGAATATTTTTATTTAATATCTAATATACTGGTACTATTATATATCGTTAAATAGATAATAACAGTATCTATTTAACGATATTTCAATGTTTAGGTATTTGGATTTTTGTTAGTTAATTACATTTAATCAGCGAAATATATTTCAAACAGATTTGGTTTAATTTAATTTAGTATAGACAGGCCTTTATACTAGATTGAAACATAAGATGTTTTTATCCTAATTCACATGAATTATAGCTACGAGTAGCATTGTAATAATCATGTAATCACAAATTTCATCAACTTTTTTTCTTCATGATAAATAGATACTCAATATAAAAAAAAAAATTATATCCCTGGCTGTAATCGCTAATATGGTAGTCAGAGGCTACTGTTATCATTATCACCATATACGAGTACAATTCAAACACATCACACTGCTTTATGATAGAGGAATTTGTTAATTTAATTTATCGATTGTTCACCGTCTGACGCGAAACTATTATTGTAATGTCTATCAATTAATTATATCATTATACTATGCATATTACAATACATTAATTAGTATTGTATAAATGGAAATTAACCTATAACAATAACCATATCTAAGAACGTTGATTCATGAAATGTGTATAAATCTTCATTGATACAGCAATAAGTAAAAGATAGTTGATGTCCTTGGTGATCTAGTAGCTTTTTTTTTATGGGTGATAATGGAATGGTAACCTCATCCGCGCTACCGGTATACACCGGCGGGGCACCAGTGAAAGATGATAGGTGAGGATGAAGCAGGCCAGTTAGTCCATCGTGCCGAATTCAACAAGAATTGTTCACGATGGTTTCCAGGGGGAACCACGTGGAGGTCGACCGAATAAGGCATATTGCTAGCAATGGGGCTGTCAAACTCCATTGCTAACAACCCCTTTCCCCCGATCTAGTAGCTTAATACACTGGTTTATGTATTGATGGTCGCTGGTTCGATCCCCGCACAATACAAACATTTTTATTGAGTTAATCTGGGTGTTTTTTATGTATGTATTTGCAAATAATTAAAGAGTGTGTCCCACAAAAAAATCTGACTTCAATTGTGACATAACCAGTTATTTTAATGTAAAAACTAAACTACTGAACCAATTTAAAATAAAAACTAAGAGACCAATCTGTAAGTATATGCATTCAGATAAAAAAATAATTTTCTAAATCGATTTAGAACAGACGGGAGTTATAAGGTAGCAAACATAAAAAAATACAACCGAATTGAAAACATTTTTTTGTAGTAGGTTGAACAAGTAAATTTATCAGTTGCCTAGTACCCATAATATAAGCTTTTCTTAGTATGCGACTAGATGGCGCTGGGTAATATGTGAATTATTTATTCAACTACTAAATGACCATTATTAGAATTGCATGATAGCTATTTGTTTACGCTAGCCGGGTACTAGCGGATGGTGATAAATAAGTATGAAGTCACGATGGTTCAGTTGACTTATTGTGATGAATTCATATGGAATCAACCACAATAGATGATCTAAGGCGAACTGTATAGATAGAGTATATTGCTTGTCCCCATTCCTAATAATAACTGATCCAAATAAATTAATTAAGAAAAAAAACAAGAATAAATATGTAAGCTTTCAAGATTTGGATTCCTGTATCGCATTTAAATGACATTTACTGTGTTGTAAATCATCAGTTTATTTTATATTTTTTTTTAAATTACATTTATCTTAATTAGAAAATAACTCTTTATTTTCTTTAATATAACTACTATTAGCAAGCGTCAAACAAATTCTAATTAACTAACCAGTAACATGGACTTCCACAAAATGTAATATGAATAAAAAACGTATTATGCCAACTATTAAATCCGTCTGAGCGCTGGTAGGAGGAAAGTCAGCTGCAATAAATAAATACAATCAAAGACTTTTTCTTACATAACACTTTATATATATAAAGGTAAACTTATATAAAAGCAGGTCTATCACCTACGGCCAACCTCAAATGAGTGGGATAAGGACAGGATGATGATGATGGTGATAATGATGTGCTTTTGCAAAATAACACCTAATTCAATAAAACATTTTTAAGCCTAGCAATGGACAGTTAAGGGCTTGTATGATGATGATATTTTTTTATTACTAGTAAAAATAATAAAATTAAAAAAAAATGAAATAAATCATATGAAAATAAATGTTGGGTGGTATCTTTATGAAAAAGGATAAGATTATTACAGACATCGACGGTTTCGTTATCCAACAGGAGCGACCGGACATACCCATTAAGTACCCCGATGAGCTCCAGAAATATTTATATAGAGGACTTATTTCATACTTCAACGAGTCAGAAAATTAGGAAAGGAGTACAAATATATTTACTGCTTTCGGTGACCGAAGCATTTTCTCTTAAAATAAATTTGTCCCTCTACATTTATACACGGGCACTCTTATATTTTGTTGACAAAAGAACATTATTATATTACTAGCTGTATCCCGCGATTGTGCCCACGGGATTCAGTATATAAAGTACCCTTTGAGCTAAGTTAGGATATAACCTACCCGTGTATAAAATTTCATTCAAATTCGTTCAATGACTTAAAAAACCACCCATATATTGTTACAAACTTTCGAATATATTATATTAGTAGGATATTTTCATATTTATAACTAAAATTTGATTAAATTATGTATCTAAGAATAATTATTTCTATTATAAGAGATATTATAAGACAATAAATTATTGTATATGTTGGTATCACTAAAAAATATGAAAATGAAAAGAATGATCTTTAAAGATTAATTAATGGTAAAAAAATTCTTTAAGATCACTGCCAATTGGTCTAATAAAAGTACCTAGGAGGCTTGATGCATTTTCATGCTAAATGGCTATAGAGATACGTTGACCAAATTATAGATCAGCCTTCTGGTCGCCTTCTGGTTTCTGGTGGTTTAAAAACATTTGTTGTTATGAGTATGTCTGTTTGTATTGGTCTGAGTGGTTTTTATGTACAAGCTTTACTTAGTTTGGAAATATATAGCACTACATAATATGTCGAGTGGTATTTGTTTATTTATATAATTATATTTTTAGAGAAGGTAAGCTATGATTGAAGATTAAATATATCGTTCCATTATCTATGACGTTTTTTAAATTAATTTAAAAACGTAAATGGTACGTATTCACTTAAACGTCTACGGGCAGGTACCACGTTGCATGTAATGTTTAAGTAATTAAATTTAAAAGCAGTTTGAGCTTTTTAATTTTGATTTAATTAATATGTAACTTCATATAACATTTACTGTAATATAGAAATTAACGTAAGAAAAATCTATAACCATCACCTCACTCGCTTTTATATTGGTAATTGGATATATTCTAAACGACCCCATTGCTCGGAATATACTCTATCAAGTCGACCTCCACGAGGTCTTAACAATCGCAATTATTTCGTGATAAATTCACCAAGGTAGACCGTTTGACCTGATTCCATTCTATCATCCCTCATTAATGTTGTATATATATCAGCGTGTATCGATAGCACAAGCGAGGTTACCATTCATCGTAAGAAATACCAACTATTATCATAAAAAAGAGGTCGGTACACTTACACACTTTCTGACATTGTTGACGAGCATAAACTCCTCTGTGGATCCCTCGACAAAAAAAAAAACATTTAATGACTACACAGTTTGTATAACAATTATTTTTAGATTGAAATTTGCTACATTGTCCTTGGAGCCTTAGTGACTTTGCTAAGTT